TATAGAAAATACCTATGAGCTTCGTCTAAAATATCTAGTAATAATTCTTAAAATCAGTGTGATAAGATGCGAAATTGTGTCATAATAAAATACATAAAAAAATATATATATATATTATGATTATGAAAGTACATTAAAACACCTGAAGTCTAAAATATCAAGAGGCCTATTAAATCTTTATAAAAATAATATATATACTTTGACGAACATATCACATATCCTCAAAGTTATACACACACATTTAAAAAAAGAAAGAGAAGGAAATTAAGGAGACATAAAACCACATCTTCGTTTCCTTTCACAATTCATCTCCGTTTTTCTCCAACTTCTCCACCACCTCCCCCTTCTTCTTCTTCTTCTTCTTCTTCTCCTCCTTCAAAATCAAAGCTCCTCGCCACACAGATGAGTCGAGAGCTTACAGGTCTTGCCATAAACACTCCTCACCAACTCGGCTCCGAACTGCCCGAACACGAAGATCGAAGAGGATTTGTAGCCGAGACTGTGCAGGGAGTGGAGGCAGGAAATGCTCATAGTCACCCCTCCGCACACAACCACCTTCGACGGGGAAGAAAACGGGGATTTATCATCACTGTCATCATCATTATTATTATTATTATTATCATTACTATTACTACTATTACTATTATCGTTATTATTACTACTATTATCACCACCTTTATTTTTATCATTATCATTGGCATTATCACGACTACTACTTCTACTACCATTACCACTGACAATATTGTCATTACTATATCTACCATCCTAGTTACGACAATCACAATCATTATCCCCATTATACTAGTCACCACCACCATTATTCTGAAACCACAAAGTTCAAACGATCAACCGAAACTGGGTTAAAACACACAATCTCGAGCCATGTTCGAAACTCACTTTATGCTTCGAAGTATCGGCTTCAGGAACGTGTTTCGAGATTAAGTCGGTGTTTATGAACCCTTCTTCGCCCTCCCAGTCCTGTGGGGCTTCGCCGACGCTGTATACCACACGCACGCGGCTGTCTCTCTCTGCTAATGAGAAAGAAATTAATAAATCCGCATATAAATTCACATATAGATAGATAGATAAATTATATAAATATATAACATTTGGTTAATCAATAAAATAGGACTCCTAAAAAAAAAGATTTATAAATAAAAACGTGACGTTTATATATTGTGTGCATCTTTGTGTTTTGTCCTTAGCCAAGTGTGAAAAAAACAAGTAAAATATTTTTCATAATTCAGTACGCGTAGATGTTAGTGATTCCTAAGCACTGTACATTACACACATACAATTCGCTTCTATGAATAAGGGAATAAAAACATTAAAGGTGATGATCCGTGATGTTTGGACGAAAGGAAATGTAAATGAAGGAGGAGTGAATTTATGTCACTGAAGAAACCAGTTGTTACAATCATATACTGGAGAAGCAGCCATGTAAAAGTTTATGGAATTCTACAACTGCAAAGAGTAATGCTGTAATAGAAGGAGGGGGGGGGGGAGATGGAAATGGGGGAGGGGTGAGGTGATGAAAAGAGGGAAAAAATGAAGGATGAAAAATAAGCAAAATGGCAAAGGAAGATGGAAAGGGGGGGATAAAAAAATAAGAATGAATAGAGAAGTCAACATAAAACCAACAAACAATAGAGAGAAGAAAAACGAACAAAACGACAACTTAACCCAATGGTGCCGGGGAAAATGAACAAAAAATGGGGAAAATATTGTGTCCACTTTCTATGTTTTTCGTGAAATGTCTGCCGATAGATGGCTCTGCTAGCGCCTGATTTAAATGGCGGGAAAAACGTATTTTTCACTAGAGCTATGGAAATCGATGGTGTTATTTTTATCATAAACATTATAATTTTTATATATTTTTTTAACATTAGTAACAGCAAAATAAGATCACGAAAAATATTTTGTAAATCAAAGAAACGGGTAAACGGCCGAGACGGGCGGTGTTCGCAACTGGCTCATTGGGGAGTTAGTACAAGTGTTGCCATCTATGCGTAACAACAATCAAACAAGTACTCACGGTGGGCATAGCACGTACGTACACGTCATACCCGGCACCAAGGGGTTAAGATGAAGAAGGAGAAGAAAATAAAAAATAAGAAATAAAAAAATACACAAATCGAATTAAAGTAAACAAAAACCAACAACAACAACAAAACCCTGAAATAAACAAACATCCATAAAACAAAACAAAAAACATAAAAAAAAAATCACACCATTAAAAAAGTACAAAACAAAATAAAAAACCTCAAACCACCAGCCAACCTACCACAGTAACGATCAAGTTCCTCTCTGCACAGGAAATCGTCAACCGTCTCAGCGAAATACAGAAGCGTGATTTTCGTCTCGTCCTCGGTCTGCTGGGCAACGCACCGCACCAGCTGCAGGCCCGGCGTGACACCAGCTCCTGACGCCAACACTGTCAACGCCGTCAGCTGGTTGGCCTCGTACTCCAGCCCTCCGCAGGGGCCTTGGAAATCGATATGGTCTCCTGTAGTGGGAAGGGAGATAGAGGGTTAGATAGACAGAGTTCGATAGAGAGATAGGTGTAGATAGATAGGCGGAGATAGATAGATAGGTGGAGATAGATAGATAGGCGGAGATAGATAGATAGGCGGAGATAGATAGGTGGAGATAGATAGGTGGAGATAGATAGATAGATAGGTGTAGACAGATAGATAGATGGAGACTTAGATAGAGAGTTCAATAGATAAGTGGAGAGTTAGATAGAGAGTGAGTTAGATAGATGGAGAAGTAGATATATGGTAAAATCATTACTTGGTTGAATGTGTGGTATTTCATGTAGAATGAATGTGGCACAAAAAACTTTTTTTTCTTAAATATTTTTTCTTGAAAGCTAAATATTTACACGAGTACGTATTCGTATGTAACACACGTAACTAACAGATAAAAGAAAGTATACAAAAAGGGGCCATAAAAATGAAAACATCAAATTGAAAAAAACAAACAAACACCGGCACCACACTCCACCTGGTTTCAAATCCTGGAAAAACTTGGACATGACGCCTTGGGTTTCGTACTTCAAGACCAACTCGATGCGACCGAAGTCATCGGGCCGAGAGACCGGGGAAAAGTACCTGAGGTGTTCCTTGCCTGCGATGACCACGCGGACCTGCCAGTATCAATGGTGTCGTTGTTGTTATTATTATTATTATTAGTAGTAGTAGTTGTAGTAGTATTAGTAGTTGTAGTAGTAGTAGTAGAAGTAGTAGTAGTAGTAGTAGTAGTAGAAGAAGTAGTAGTAGTAGTAGTAGTTGTAGTAGTAGTAGTAGTAGTAGTAGTAGTAGTAGTAGTAGTAGTAGTAGTAGTAGTAATAGTAGTAGTAGCAGCAGTAGTATTAGTAGTTGTAGTAGGAGTAGTAGTAGTAGTACTAGCAGCAGCAGTAGTAGTTGTAGTAGTAACAGTAGCAGCAGTAGTAATAGCAGTAACAGTAGTAATATAGCAGCAGCAGCAGCAGTAGTAGTAGTAGTAGTAGGAGCAGTAGAAGTAGAAGTAGTAGTAGTAGTAGTTGTTGCAGTAGCAGTAGTAGTAGTAATGGTAATAGTAGTAGCAGCAGTAGTATTGTTATTCAAAGCATTATTGTTATTATTATTACTATTACTACGATCATTATTAGCATCACTATCATTATCACCAATAGGCATATCGTTATTACCACTATCATCAATATCATTCTAACCACGAAACTCCTTATCACCATCATCCTTACATACCGATAACACCATCACGTACAATCACTTCATTTTACTCTTGCTTTTAATCAACGAATTCCATGCACAAAAAAAAAAAAAAATAAAAAAAAATCAAATCAACAATAAACAAAAAAGAAAAAGAAAAATAATAATAACAACAACACACAACCCCCATCAAGCGAGGCCAACACAAACCTAACCCACAGCCAACCCTTACCACAACATACTGTCCCGGTAGACAACCCGTATGGTCGGTACTCTTGGGCAAAGCGAAGGTAAAAACAGCCATGTTGCCCGTGAGATCGGCGCGGGAGAGGAGTTTGAGGGCCGTCCACGAGTCGGGTCGAAGAGCCGGGTCGTGGTGGACGCCGTCGGAGGTAGTCGTCTGGGGGAATAGATAAAGATAGAGATAGAGATAAAGAAAAAAATATAGATATAGATGAATGTAAAGGTATGGGCCTAGGTATAGGTATTGGTATTGGTATTGGTATTGGTATAGGTATGGGTATGGGTATGGGTATAGGTATAGGTATAGGACTAGGTATAGGTACAGGTATAGATATAGGTATGGGTAAAGATAAGGATAAGGTTAAGGATAAGGTTATGGGTAGGGGTAAGGGTAAGGGTAGGGGTAAGGGTAAGGGTAGGTGAAGGGTAAGGGTAAGGGTAAGGATACGGATAAAGATAAGGATAAAAAAGCAAGATTGGATAGGAGGGAGAGAAAAAATGACAAAATATGTGGCCATATATATATATCCTTTAAAAAAATCAAGAAAAAAGGGACAAACAGAATAAAACACACACACAAGCACAGATACAGTCACAAACAAACACACACACACAAAACTATCCCTCGGCACCCTAACCCCCCCCCCCCCCCTCTCTCTCCTACCCACCCAACCCACCCCAGTCAACGCACCTTCGCCACACAGGCAGGAGGACGCGTATGGAAAGGGTTATCGAAGTCGGTATCTTGGTAAGGGTGACGCGAGGCAGCTCCCTCCTTCTGCGCCTCCACCTCCTGCAGGAGTCTTTGAGCAAGGGCGCCTTTCTCTTCCAGGGACAGTTTCTGCATCTCATGCTGGAGGACTCGCTGGTCTGCCCGCTCTTCCCTGAGGTCGAGAGAGAGAGAAATAATTCATATTTTATTTAATGTTATCAAGTAGATAATAAAGAAAAATAAAGACAGAAAGAGAAAAAAGACAAAGAAAAAGAGAAAGAAAAAAGAAACAAACAGAGATAGAGACAGACCGGTACATAACCAACCCACCT